ACTTGATTTATCAGAAGATAAAAATACAAATAATATAAACGACAAAATACAAAAATACAAAGAAAAATACAAAACAGGAATGAAGTTCGTTATTAACGTCAGATGTTAACGTCATTACCTTCTTATAACGCTTCTCAACTTCCAATCTATCACACACGCACACACACGCACACACACATGCATATACACGCACACATTCTTATCTAGGAAGATTTTTTTTAGAAAATTATTATTCTTTACAAAGTTCTGTAAAGGTATTTTGCAAATTGATAGAAAACAAAAAGTTAGAGAAATTTTGTATTTTATAAAGTTTCAAAAACATGCCTCTTGTTACATTTGCATAGCAAAATATTCTTTGTATTTTCAGTAAAATAGATAAATGTTCAGAAATAAATTAGAAGTATGAAACTAGCAAATTGACTGCCAGCCGAAAACATAGAAAACCACCTCCTGAAATCCATGATTCGAACGACGATGGCGCAAGAGTCAAAAATCGACTTGGCCCTAAAGCTGAGGCAACTTGAAACACTCTTGGCAGAAATTGAACTGACGACGAACAGGCTGGCCGTTTATTTCGGGCAGACTGGGGCCGAAGCCAGAACAATCGAGTATCAGATGAGGAAAATCCAGGATAACAGTCACGTGTCGCTTGGTCCCGTCAGAAAACTGGTCCGTGTGTTTTTTTTTGTAAAACTTTTTAATTTATTTTAACATTGGTACGTTATTTTAAGATGTTTTCATGCATTTGGATGTGTTTTTTGTATTCATTTGGTATGAGGTAGCAATTATATTTTCAATTTTTCCGATCTAATGATTAAGCACAACCGGTCAAATGTTTAAAACTTAGGTTGCCGAACGACAGAGGGCAAGAAAAACTGACCGGCTGCCCGATGTTAACCCGGGGGGAAGTGTCTTCGTGACGAACGAGGACCTCAATTTCGATTTCGATTCCATAAACGTGCAAGACATGGAGGTGGAAAGTGAGGAGAGCATCAAGAAAAAAGTGATGGAAGAGAAAAAATTGAAGCTGGAGACGGAAATGCTGAAGAGGAAGATGATGATGGAGGAGGCAGAACGAGAGAACATGAGAAAGAAGGGAAGGGTAGATCTGAAAAAGTGGACAACCTATAGGTTAGCTCATCGTCGTCACTATAATTTAAAAAAAATATTTGCTTAATTCAAACAAAATAATAGATTTGACAACTAAAACAGCAATTAAAACCATTTTATAGACGTCAATATAACAAACATCTGCAGTTACAAGCTGGCCAGCTTGGAACCTCAAATCGAACACATGAACCAGAATCACTTCCTGTCAACCTGCCACATAAAAACGTCACCGCTTCACGCAATCTTCAACCAGGAAGACCTCCTCGTCAACTTTGTAGATGTCACTAACTATCAAATCAACTACACGGAACACGAGGAGCTGTTGAATCACGTGATCTACGTGAGGTCATCGGCCAGGAATGGAGATGTGCCGTACGAATTTCAAGTAGTCCTGATAAGCATTTATTTGTAAAAAATACTTTGGCTGAACTTTTAACCAGAACATTAATCAATAGAATATAAATTATTTTTTCTATTTATAAACGAACATTAAAAAAAGTATTTAAAATGAAATTAATTACAAAATATTAAACTAAAATAAAAATTCCATTAACGCAACAACATCCCAGCTCCCTATCCGTCTCCTGATACCACATCCACCCATTACACGGACGAGAGAAACCGTTATCAAAGTTTTGCACTGCTCAAAAAGTTTAAAACATAAGCTCAAACTACAGAGCAGAGAAACCAAAATCAACATCTTCAAACGAAAGTACATAAAAAGTGAAGGCGACGAAGCCGACGACGATGAGGATGGCGGTGAGGGACCTCGTAGAAGTCCTGCTGCTGCTGATAAGCAGAATGATAAACTTCAGTGTTTTCGAGAGGATACAGCTATGAACAGTGAAGCCACTGGTTGCGACAACAACCACAGCCGCAACAACCGCAGCTTCGACATTATTAATGACGCAAACAACAGCTGCCATGTAAAAAACAGTTTAAATGGTAAACATTCAATGAGTTGCGATGACGTCATCGTTGTACCCGATGCTAATGACGTCGATGGTAATGACCGAGAGAAACACGCCAGCAGCAGCAGCAGCAACTTCAACGACAACATCAACAACAACATCAACAACAACGGTGATAATGACAATGATAATGATGATTGTATAGACGTTGATAACGGTGATGATGAAAATGATGATGTTGTTAATGATGGCGATGATGAACGAAGTAGCAACACAAATTGTTGGGAAGAGAAAAATACAGTCAAATTAAACAATGCATCTGAAGCCGGTTTCACATCCCATGTATTGATTCTTTCAATTGTTTCCTATTTTCATTTAAATTAATCTAAATATATTATATTAATAATATAAATTTTACAAAACAAAAAAATTTATTTTGAATGTTGAACAAATTTTATTTAAAAGTTGCTACCCAAGTCTATGCAGTTTTCAATAAAATGTCATCTCAAAATTTAAAAACCTCCCTAACTAAGCCTTTTCCTTAACAACCCCTTAAAAAACCTTTTAACAATTCCCTAACAACCTCCTAACTACCGTCTAACAAACCTCCCTAAACACCCAAGGACAACAATTCAGTCTCATACATCCCCATCGACCACATACCGCGTCATGGACTGCTTTTCGCCATCGTCAGTAGACCGAAATGCGACAAGAGTCATTTTGGTCCAAAAGGTGGAAAATTAATTCAGAGTGTTGACTCTAGGATTAACGTCCTGGTGCCGAAATTGGCTTTTGAGGAAAAAACTGAAGTTCAATTGCAGGTTTGTAGGGCGTATTTTGAAATTTTATTAGTGTTTTACAATGAATAAGTGTACAACTTCGTCACCATAGACCATCTGGAACAGCAACAGCGCTATCTCGAAGTTCAAACAGCAACAGCAGCGCCAAAGTCAACAAAACTCTCATGCCGACGATCAACCCATCCCTGCGACAAACGATTCCGATCCTGAATTTCTCGGTATAACACCATTCCTGAGTATTGAAACTGAACACAATCCATTGAAACATCTGATGGTTAAGATCATCCAGCCGTCCGGAGCAAGCAAGCGTAAAAAAATGAAATCCCAGGTTAAATTCGTCGCCAACAATCCGGACGGTGATGAACAAGTCACAATCGACAACAAAAACAACAAAGATATCGAGTCGGATAGAAATTTAAACGCCAACAACGATATAAACCACAACGACGACAACAACAACACTACAGACGGGAGACCAAATATAAAAACGCACCTAACTCTACCTCCTCTCTTTAACTCAATCAACGATCAGAACGTTCAGAGCAAACCCCGTTAGAAATCTCTCAAAATGAAATTAAATGTAAAATTTGAATTAAATTAAATGTAAAAATTGAATGAGATAATATTCGAATAGCACCGTAATTAATTTCAGCAAAAGATTACATTGTCCTGGTGACAAAAGATACAACAAGCAAATGGAAAGCGAGACCCGAGGTTGAGTTCATCGTTCAGAATGACGTCATTCTCTTCGTTTTAACCGAGCCATTGAAAAAGTTAGTTACATAATTTTTTGTCACAACTCAACAACATACACACACACACACACACACACAAACAAACATACACACACACACAAACAAACAAACCCAACTCCAGATTAGCGTTTTTACGTCTGTCGCAGCCAGCAGACCCAGCGATCATCGCTAAGATGATATCAGCCTTTGAAGTGGTAACATACGAAAAAGAGGTCCAGGCGATCACGGCCTTACATCATCTACATCTCAATCCATCCAACCACCGCCAGTCCAGCCCCCATCCGCTCCACCATCATCTTCTTCCTACTTCCCACCATTCTTCGTCGCCATCTTCCATCACGTCTTCAATTGTTTTAGAGTGCGTCAGGGCGGAGAATATTGAAAAAGTGGTCTACAAGTTTGACATGATGGGATATGATTCGGGTAGGAAAATTATTCTTTCTTTTCGGAGTTATTTTCTTAAGGGGTTTAAATAAAAATTTGCTGTAAATATTTAGTTTTATAGTTAAATTGATAAAAATATCAAAAAATACTAGAGTGTACGTGTACATTTTTGGTTACAATTAAATTAACTTTAGAAATGCAAATAATAAAACAACTATTTACTAAGTCAAACATTGCCCGTGATTGTATTTTAAATTAGTCTCATACTTATTGTTCATATTATGTCATTTTTTTAAATTTAATTAATTTTTGTACGGTTTTAGCACATTATATTAGCTATTTTTACATCGGTTTGCTATACATATATATATATATATATATATATATATATATATACGCACGCACACACACATACACGCACACCGCACACTCACACGCACAAACACACATCCGTTGAAATATTATGTAAATTTTAGAAGTTATGAATATTTAAAAAATTAATTTTAATAAACTAAACTCGCCTATACATCTAGTAAGAACGGAGGAGACGAAATTCAGCATACATGAAGGCGACCGCTTGAAACTCATATTCAAAGGCAACGTACGATTCAAAGACAATGGAGATGTCAGATCTGTTGTTTTTCATTCAAATCTCAGTACCTGTTTCATGCAGGTAGCTTCCAGACCATCATCGTCGTCGTCACCGTTATCATCTTAATCGCCGCCATCATCATCTTCATCATCTTCTTTTTCATCACCAACATCATCTTAGTTATCAACTTCATCTTCGTCTAAATCATCAAGATATAAAAATTATTTAGTCTCAAGTCACAAACTCCATCCAGGCAGACATCAGCGAGATAGATTCCTTCGCTCAGAACGCACTACTGATGTACAGAGGCTGTCTGCAAATCAGATCAGAGAAGAGCCAACAACCGAAACGACAACAACAACAACAGATGAGAGTGTTACAGAAACACGAAAGCAGACTAGATGAAAAACGCAGTCAGTTGACAAAGAAGCAGACGAGCATGCATCCAGGCGTACAGTGGAATAGTAAGACCACGTCTGTGGAGGACGATGGCGACGCTGATCTGCTGTGCGAAATCCAAATACTGCTACCTAAGGTTGTTTCCCTACCTATATACTCCGCGAATGAAATAGTTAAGAGTATTTCTGCCAAATTATTTTTTACTTATTCATGATTTTATTGAATTTATTTTACCATTTCACTTTCTTTTCTTAAGAAAAGACATGACCCACCAAATCTGAGGAGGATTCAAATCGCCATTAAGGACGAACGTTGGTTGGGATTGACTGATGCTAATTAATTATAATCATTCATTGATAAACATCATTAATTAGTTAATTAATTAATTAATGACAACAACTATTTATACATAATAATGATGACATCGCAATAAAGTTGGATAACGGTAGTGAAATATTTTTTAATTTTCAAGTTATCGAGAATGATACAACACCGTACTTATTTTCAATTTCTACCAAGATAGCACGTCTCACAAATGTCCTCAAACCAGCCAACAAAACAGTCAAACAAATCACAGTACATCTCTGCATTTCAACACAAGTTTCAACAAACAAAACAAATAATACACATCACATCTCAATATTCTGACACAAACTTCTGGCAAAACAACGGGCAAAATTAATAATTCTCAACTCGATGTTTTAACAAAACTATCCCCCAAACCAACTAGTAACGCGACACTAACTTCTCCACCAAATAGCTCCCCTCTCAGGTGATTTTTTCGACCGACTTTCATCTTCACTGGGCGATAAATGGACGAGTCTGGCCGAGAAGTTGAAAATCAGTCAAGTGTCGGTCCAGCGAATAAAAAACTCATGCACCAGACGGTTTCTTACCGAAGAAAGCGAGTTCACGTCTGTCATACACAACATGGCCGCCAAGCAAATGCTTTTCCAGTGGTTCAAAACTTCGCCAAAGTCTTCCAATAAGGTTAGAGGATGAAGATGATGATGACGATGATGATGACGACGATGATGACGATGATGATGACGACGATGATGACGATGATGATGACGAGGCTGATAACGAGCGAGCTTAATGATAATGATAGTGCTATTGATGATGATGATGATGATGGCGATGATGATGATGATGATGATAGTGCTATTAATGATGACGATAATGGTGGTGGCGATGATGATGATGATAGTGCTATTAATGATGATGATAGTGGTTGTGATGATGATGATGATGATATGATAATGAAAACAATATGCTGATGATGGTGATGACTAAGAAGATATTGTTTATATAAATACGTGGAAAACAGGTCAAAGAACTACGCTGGGCACTGGCGGCTGTCGGCAGAAACGATCTACTTGCTGAATTTGGAGGAGAATGATGATGAAGAAGAAGATGATGAGGATGATGATTATGATGATAAAGAAAAAGAAGAATAAGAAAATTATGTAGATGAAAATGATGATCAGAAAAAAGAAAAATAAGAAGAAAAAGATGATGAGGATGATGATGATGATATTAGTAATTAGAAATTTTCTTTTATAATTTATACAAAGTTTATAAACAACTTCATCAACAACAACAACATTAACAACAACAACAACAACAACAACTGTTGCTAAAAATGTTCTAAAAAAAGAACAATCCTGTGTTAAGGTGAACTCTCTGCAAAAATTATTCTCAGCCAAAAATCATAAACAACAAGTCAATTTAACACTCATTGATACCCAAAAATATCATTGCATAAACGTTTCATATCTGTGTATACACAATTTATATATATATATATATATATATATATATATATTTATATATATATAGAAAGAGAGAGAGAGAGAGAAAGAAAGATGGGAGAGATTTTAAGAGTGCGTCAGTTATAAATAAATAACCAATTCCGAATGTATTTTTATCTTTACTATCCAGTCCAAAGTAACTCACCTGGTTATAATTAAACAACCACTATAATAATAATAATAATAATTATTATTATAATAATAATAAGGATAATAATATTAATAACAGTTGCTGTTGCAAAAGCAGCGAGTCTGTGGAATGTAAATAACCATCCAGTGAGCTCATCTCCCTCTCGCTCTCTCTTTCTCTCTCTCTTTCTCTCTTTCTTTAAATATATGTGTGTGTATGATTTATTGATAGTGTGTTTATGTTTACATCTTCGTTGTTTGTCCTACATTATATAAATTATTTAAAAAAAATTTGAAAATAGTTTGAAAAGTTCATTCGTTCGTTCGGTTGTTCGTTCGTACGTTTGCTGACTATTGCATTCATTCATTCATTCATTCATTAATTCATTCATTAGTTTAAACAAAAGTTGTTTTATAGTTTATTTATTTATTAATTCATTCATTCGTTCATTGTACTGAAGTACTTCTCATTATTTTAGAAGTAAGTTTTTAATGCGTGTTCTAAATTTGTAGTGGGTTTCAACGCTTAAATTAGCTATTATTCAATTGAAATACGATATAAATTTCATTTTTTTACTAAAATTTTTTTTAAAATTCATCAAATTATCATTTTACATTTTGAAATTAAACATTTTTTTTCATTTCACAAGTCAGCATGTCCTGTCAAACGGAAACCAAAGACGACAAAAGTTGTGCTAGCAGAAACTGCAACAACCACCGCAGCCACACCGATCACACAGCAACCGACCACACAACAGCTCCCGCCACAAAAGAGACGCAGACAGCAGACACGTACACAAAAATCATCAACAACAAAGATCACCATGGTCTGGACTTGGTCAAAAAATGTTCATGCGCCGACGATGATCCTTTTGGGACCTTCCCCCACTTTGCCACGACGGTCATACACGCCGGACAAAACCCGAAACAGTGGAACTGCAGGGCTGTGGTGCCCCTCATCTCCCTATCTACCACCTTCCAAGCTGAGGAACCAGGGGCCGAGGGAGTCAGTTTTTTTTTGGGAGATGTCTCAGTTTATTTTTGAATTTATACGTTCATAATTCATCAGAATTATGATTTTTTTTTTTAGAAATTTCTTTACAAATTTTGTTGCGTTTTTGTTGCTGAAGTTGTAACGTGCTTTAGAAGCAAACGCTCTGGATGATGAAAATAATTTGAAATTATATTCAATATAACATGAAAATTACGCGAAAACTGTAAAAAATATAACAAAGTAAAAATTACGCTGATGTGGTAGATGTTTTTATGAAAGAAGTTACTTAATAAAAACCAAAATTGCAATTTGGAGTAACTGAATGATGGAATGATGGAATAATTTCAAACGACAGAAATTTGAGTATGTACGTGCTGGCAATCCGACGAGGAAAGTTGCCGAGACATGTGTGGCAGCAATCGAGAATGGAAAACATTGTAAGAGAAATTTGTTTATCGTAATTTCATCCTAATTTTAACATAATTTTATAATAATTTCACCATAATTCTATATTAATTTCAAAATGCAACCAATTTCGACCTTCCTACAACTAATTTCGAACACCCTGCAACCAATTTCGAACACCCTGCAATCAATTTCGAACACCCTGCAACCAATTTCTACTATCATGCAACCGAACAGCACCATCCTGCAACCAAATTATATTACTTTGCAACCAAATTACACCACTCTGCAACCAAATTATATTACTTTGCAACCAAATTACACCACCCTGCAACCAAATTACACCACCCTGCAACCAAATTAACTCGCGGCAACCAACTTTTCCCACCACCTCACACCCAAGGTTTCTTATACGCCAGTGGGCTCGCTGCTACAGTCAACATATTCCACTTACTGAAAGGTGGTGATCACGTGATATGCATGGATGACGTCTACGGGGGTGCGTTTGAGTTTTTTTTTTGTTTGTTTTTTTTCCAAATTCGTCATCATTAGTATTGTTAAAATCATTTTCGATTTAATACAACACAATACCAAACAGTACAATATAATTATAATAAAATAATAATACTTTTATAATTTTTAAGGTACCAATAGGTACATTAACAAGGTCTTAGTAACAATGGACATCGAGGCGACATTCGTCGACGCCACTGAACCGGCGAACGTTAAGCAAGCACTCAAACCTAACACCAAGGTGATTGATGGTAATGATGATGAAGACGATGATAATGATGAAGATGGGGAAGATGATGACGATGGTGGTGATGATGACGATGACGATGATGATGAAGATGGGGAAGATGATGACGATGGTGGTGATGGTGATGAAGATGGTGAAGAGGATGACGATGGTGGTGATGATGACGATGATGATGACGGCGGTGATGATTATGAGTAATAGGAGAAAGATAAAGATGATCACGATCATGATCTTATTCTCCGTCTGTTTGATTTATTTTCATTTTTAAATTCATATACTATCGCATTTTGATTCTCAGAATTCTACAAACGATTTAATGTTTTAAGATGTTGTGGTTGGAAACGCCGACAAACCCGACGTTGAAGGTGGTGGACATTGAAGCGGCTTCAGCAGTGGCCCACCAGCAGCCAGGTGTCATCGTCGTCGTCGATAATACCTTCATGTCTTCATACTTCCAGGTGGGTTGTGATATTTTAATTTTTGTTAAATAGGCGTTCTGATTGCGTAAGGGGTAAATTGTAAGATGTTACTTTGCAAGGAGATCTTTGTCTACTGCATGTGCTTTGTGATTCCTACTTATTTTTACATGTTTGTGTTGGTTTTGTGTTATCTCTTTGGTATAGTTAGGAAAGAATTTGTTAAATGTTTATTTATGTTTTAGCAATTCGAAAATAAAAATTTAATGTTTTATTTTGTTCATCGCTAGAGACCGCTTGACTTAGGAGCAGACGTTTCTTTCCAATCTCTGACCAAATACATGAATGGTCAGTTCACTTCAAATCCATTTCCAGCTTTGTATTTTGCCGATTTTGACCTGATTTCATGCATACGCTTGCATATCTTTCATTTATTTAGCCAAACATTTAATTCTATATTAATATAACTATGAAAAAAACTCAAAGCACATACACACACACACAAACAAACATGCAGCAAACAAACTCATCCACGTACACAGGACATTCAGATGTTCTGATGGGATCACTGACGACGAACAATGATGAATTGGCTGAAAAACTGAAATTTCTTCAAAATAGTCTGTACACACACACACACACACAACACACACACGCACACACACACACAGCACACACACACACACATGCACGCACAACTTAACTTTTTCAACAAACAGCTCTCGGGGCGGTGCCCTCTCCATTTGATTGCTACATGTTAAACAGGGGCTTGAAGACGTTGGCACTGCGTATGAGGCAGCATATGAAGAATGGGCTGCAGGTGGCTAGGTACCTACAGGACAACCCAAGAGTTGAAAAAGTTATACATCCTGGTATGTAATGTGCACACATGATTTCTCCTAAAATCAATTCGTTTTTCGTTAATTTTTAGTTCTACAAAAAATCAACTTTGGGTTTTGTCAATATATCAGAGTTGAGAAAGTTGGTTATTTTTTCATCCTGCTTTTTGAATGTCAAAATGTCTGGATCGGAAAGATAGAAATTGAAATATAGATGTCACCTGAATCCTGAAAAAATGCCGACCTCCGTGTTATTTTCATTTCAGTTTTTATCTTTTCTTGGTCCAGACACGCGCGCGTTCCTTCAAACCAGTAAAATACAAAATGAGATTGGAAAGTACTGAGATGCCCATCTTTTCCACGTTTTAAACCAACCAGGCCTGCCAAGCCACCCACAACACGCCATTGCCAAGAAACAGTGCAAAGGTTACAGCGGCATGATCACGTTCAGCATCAAGGGCGGTCGCGAAGAAGCTTGCCTATTTCTTAAAAGTCTCAAGGTTCTTATACATTATTTTATATCTTGACCAATTAATTTAAATTATTTGAAATCAATTACAACAATAATACTATTAATATTACTGTTATCACTACTGCTGCTATTACCACTACTACTACTGCTGCTGTCGCTGCTACTGCTGCTTCTTCTACTACTACTGCTGCTAGTAGCGTCAGAGAGGTATGGAATTAAAATCTCAAAACCATAGAGCTCACTCACACAAATGCATAGGTGCAGTGAACAACAATGCGGCATACATTCCACGTTATGATAGCTATAGTGTACTTTATTAGTAAAAAAACATTTAAAATTATTTCCGAAATTGTATTTCTTTATGGACAGGTTTTTTCGTTAGCAGAAAGTCTTGGAGGGTATGAAAGTTTAGCAGAACATCCGTAAGTACATGTGTACTTGTCAGTGCTTGTGTACTTGCTATTAGTTCGTTTGCAATTAACAGTGTGTATGTACTTAGTACTACTTATTACTTATTACTTATCATGTGAAATTATTAGTACATATGTACTTAATATGTACTTTTATGAACACACCTACTAATACGTAATAAATACACGTGTTTATGTGTACGAATAAGAACATATGTACAAGTGAATATGCGTGTACAAATGTTTGGATCAGTGCACATGCTCTAGTAAACACCTAAGTACTAATAAAAGTATTCATTATTATTTTATTGGGGAGCAATTTAACAGTTTCACACCTACAAATCATCCAGGGCTCTTATGACGCATGCATCCGTATCCGTTGAAGATAGGATGAAGTTGGGAATCACGGATAGTATGATTAGGCTGTCAGTTGGACTGGAAGACGTTGAAGACCTCATTGAAGATTTAGATGAAGCTCTTATGAAAGCCGTTCGTTTGTGTTTGTGTGTGTGTATGAGTGTGTGTTTGTTTGTTTGTTGGTATGTGTGTGTGTTTGTTTGTTGGTATGTGTGTGTTATTTGGATAAAGATCTTTTGAAGGCCGTTCGTTTGTGTGTGTTTGTTTGTGTGTGTGTGTCTATTTTTGTGTGAGTGTGTTTGCAGGTATGTGTGTGTTATATTATTTATGTTTGTATTGCCTTGCATAAGTAAGTAGTTGTTTCTTTCTATGTTAAACTGTGTTCTATATGCATTGTCAACACGTTTCAACATTTATCACACGCAGGTTCCGATCGTGAGAAATTGAGAAGTACTGGTCTGAAAAACAATCCGAAAACAATCTTTATGTTTTAAAAAAAATGAATTTATTTAATGAAAAAATTTTATTATTGTTATTATCACTATAGTAATAATAATAATAATTACTATCGTTTATTATTATTATTATCATAGCAAGCATGAACATATGATAATTATGAAACAACATGATAGGTAGAGATATATTTGCTGTCGAAACCTGCCACTGCTACACCAGTGCCATGTGCCTTACCCATTACACCATTCTATATATATATATATATATATATATATATATATAATACAAATGCACATACATACAGTATAGACACTAAGCATACTGATAACGCGATGGTTTTTTTTTAATAAATGGTAAATGAAATAAAATCATATGATCAAAAATTAACATGGGAAATTTAATCCCAATGTATACTGTTGGAATAATTAATGTGCCATGTTTGCTGTATAATTATACAGTTTATCTATTTGGTTTTTTGAAGTGTTTTTCTATGTGGTTTGAGATCACTAGGGTTCGATGAAACGCACTATATAAATATGTTTGATTGATTGATTGGTTGGTTGGTTGGTTAGTTGGTTGGTTGGTGGTGGTTGGTTGATTGATTGATTGACTGACTGACTGACTGACCGACCGACCGACCGACCGACCGACCGACCGACAGACCGACCGACCGACCGATTGATTGATTGATTGATTGTTTGATTGATTGATTGATTGATTGAATATTACCATGAACAAAATAGCACTTATTTCATTTTACAACTTTTAAAATTAATTTAAGACAAAACAAATATGCTGACGTTTTTTTCATTCAAACATAAATATAAATATAAACATCTTTCTCTCTCTCTCTCTCTCTCTCTCTCTCTCTCTCTCTCTCTCTCTCTTCCTCTCTCTCTCTCTCTCTCTCTGTCTCTCTCTGTCTCTCTCTGTCTCTCTCTTTCTTTCTCTTTCTAAATATATATATGTATACATATATATGGATGATCTTTGATACCCTTGTTTGATAAACGCCATAAATCATGTAACAAACGTTATAGTATTCCTTTGAACCTAGTCATCTGTATTTAATTTTTTATGTAATGAAGACGATTTCATTTTGTGTGTATGTGAATGTGTGTATGTGTGTTGTGTATGTTTGTTTGTGTGCGTGAGTGTATGTTTATACAGTACGTGGGTGTGTGTGTGTGTGGTTTATGCAACTAAATTTAATGCGCGCGTCTATATATAGGTACTCAATAACCACAAATTTTGGTCCTCTGTTAGTTTTTAGCTATAAAGTTCACAGTTTTAATACTATTTAAACATTTAAAATTTACACAAAAAACTGACTACCCTTGAATTCATAATTTAGAAATTGTAATTAATAAACTAAACGAATGATGGAGAAACTCGAAGATAACTCTTCACGCTGTGGCGACTACAACAGCGTCAGCAGCTGCTGTAGCAGCAGCAGCAACCGCAACAACAACAACAGCACGGACACATTCCCGAATTTTTCTACCCTGGCCATTCACTCCGGACAAGACCCCAAACAATGGCACAGTAGGGCCGTCGTCCCCCCAATATCTCTCTCTACAACATTCCAACAAGATGAACCTGGAATGGCTGGAGCTGATGGAGTTAGTACAGTAACGCGTGGATTCACGCTTATTAGTATGCTGCTGTTGGTATCTTTAAAAATTCAACAGAAAGAAAATAATTATAATAAAGTTGTAATTAATTATGCATAATTATTTATTTGCATTTCTTTGACGTAAAGATGGGATTTTCCTACTCAAGAACTGGCAACCCGACCAGAAAAGCTGCTGAAGCATGTTTAGCTGCCGTCGAAAACTGCAAACATAGTAAGTGAATGGAAGAATGAATTAATGAATTAATGAACACTCAATAAACACACGCACACATACAAATACATATATACACTCCCAAACCACATGACTTAATTCATATATTAATAAATCTCATTTAACTCAGGCATATACACACACACACACTAACTCACACACTAACACACACATACACTCTCACACACACACACACAAAACATCACATACACTCACACACAAAAACAAACATACACACACACACATACACAAACACACATACATACATACACACACAAACACGTACACACGCATTCACACATCTAGGTTTCTTATTTTCCAGTGGCATGGCTGCCACAGTGACCATGTTCCACACCTTGTCCAGTGGGGATCACGTGATCTGCGTTGATGACGTATACGGGGGTGGGTCGAATAAAATAATTATTCTTTTTATGAAAGAGAAATTATTATGATAATAAGTGAAGGATTACGATAATAATTGAAGGAAGGTTGACAATGAGTGAAATTATGACGATAAATAAAATTATGACGTTAATAATGATGATAATAAAAAAATTAGAGATAACATTAATGATGATTTTCATTACAAAATGACCAAGTTTTGTGTGAATGAGAAGTCTCTGGCGGTTGGGGGCAATAACAAGCAAAAAATTTGAGCAAAAACGAAAAAATTCGTCTCGAAAATTAAAATCATTCAACTGAGCGTATCTGAATTACACCATTAAAAGGAACGAGAAGTAAGGCAATGTCATACATTAATACAGACATAATAAAGTATTGCAAACATTATTTCATTCCATTTCCAGTACATATCATTTCGGTTCGTTTTCGTTTCGTTTCGTTTTCATTCCATTTCGTTTCGTTTTCATTCCATTTCGTTTCGTTTTCATTCCATTTCGTTACCATTTGATCCCATAGGAACGAATAGATATTTAAATCGCGTCCTAATCAACATGAAGATTGAAACTACATTTGTGGATGCGACAGATGCGGCTAACGTGTTGAAAGCTCTCAGATCCAACACAAAAGTTGTCCGATGTTAATTTTGGAGAAAATTTTTGAACCGCAAGCCTAATTTACAAATTTAATAAATTGAAAACTAAACTAAATTAAATTAAAAACTGCATTCTTATTGTAGACAGACGTCCAATGGAGTACAATTTTTATCGTATAATATTAATTTTTCATTATTTTCTTACTAGCATTTCTCGATGATGATGTCAGAGTCAGACATTTTAACAATTACAATCATCACACTGGTCAACAACGACAACAACAACAAAAACGACGACAACAACAGCAACAACAACAATCAATTATTTTTAGATTGTTTGGCTGGAGACGCCAACGAACCCGATGATGAAGGTGGTAGATATTGATGAGGTAGTCAAGTTGGTCCGGCAACATCAAGATGACGTCATCGTCGTCGTCGACAACACTTTCATGTCTTCCTACTTTCAGGTTTGAGTAGATTCGTTGGGCCAGTTGTTTTTTTTATGGCTGTTGTATGCTGTTTAGTGTTTTTCGTTGTATTTTACAAATTTTTTTCGTATTTTTTGGTAGTATCAGTAACAACGCGTGTGAGTCGGTCAAACCATCACACATTGCACGCGGTAGGTGGGTATCTCTTTGAGTTTGAATCCAGTCGCTACAGCTTTAGCGCCAGGCATCTTAACCACTACGCCACCGCGATAATTAAGAAACTAATACGTTTTTTTGTCATTTCCGACAGAGGCCGCTGGATCTTGGCGCCGATGTTTCCATGCAATCTCTCACGAAGTATATGAATGGTAACTTGCCGTTATAATTGTAAATAAATATAAATAATAATTAATAATACTTTTATCCGTTATAGTTGTAAATATAAATAATAATTAATAATATTTTTATAATTTTAATTATATAAATGATAATTTCGGTAATTTATTCCCCCACGTGGTCAGGTCATTCTGACGTGTTGATGGGCTCTCTGTCGACGAACAACGAAGAAATTGCCACCAAAATTAAATTTCTTCAAAATGGTCAGTAGACGACGGGTGGTCCAGAAAGGGGGGTTGATGGTTTTTCAACCCCCCCCCCCGTTTTACTATAAAATAAAAATTTATTTAAGAGTCTGTAACATATACCATTTTCAATAGAGTGTGTATATAATGTATATTTATATATAAAAAAGTGTATGTGTATAGTTGAAAATGTTTCTATGAGAGCAAAACCTTTTATAAAACCATTTTAAAATGTTGGTTTGTGTTGCCCACTGAAGCTCTGGGGGCAGTACCTTCTCCCTTCGATTGTTTTCTGTTGAACAGAGGTCTGAAGACCCTGGCCCTGCGCATGAAGGGGCACATGCAAAATGGCCTTCAGATCGCCAGGTACCTCGAAACAAATCCCAGGGTTGAGAAAGTGTTACATCCAGGTTTGTATTCATCATTGCAAAATCTTTCACGATTGTTGTTTGTTCGTCTTAAATAAGTAAATAGTTTAGTTGGTATTGAGTCGATTTTCATCAAACTGGATAAATTTTCCAAATTTTACGCTGCTCAGACCTTTGCCATTAGTTCTATTAAAATTTTTGTTGCAAAATAAAATTTTGTATCGTTTCGTTTTGTATCGTTTCGTTTGGTTTCGTTTCAATTTTCCAGGGCTCTCTAGCCACCCACAGCACGAGATAGCCAAGAAGCAGTGCAAAGGTTACAGTGGGATGTTGTCCCTCTATATCAAGGGAGGGGAAGCTGAGGCTCGCGCCTTCTTAAAAAATCTCAAAGTATGGGCATTCCGCAAGAAATTGTTATTTTAAAGTTGCTTCAAGACAGTTTCATAAGTTTTTTTACGACAAATCAATATTTTAATCAATTTTACGGCAATTTTTTAATAAAATTTTACGACAAATACACCCTTTAGTAAATTTGGATGTTTTTCACGTAAAAAAAATACATTTTTAATATGTTTTCTAATGATTTTTTTTATAATTGATGAATAAATTGATTAATTTTTTATATTCCTCTACCAAGCATTTCTCAATAGCTGAAAGTTTGGGCAGTTTTGAGAGTTTAGCCGAGTTACCGTAAGTATTTTTAAAACATACTTTTGTAAAATTCCAAATTGTCGTCTTCTGTCAAATCATTTTGTGTGTGTTTAAACTGATACAAGTGTGATCAACCCATCAACGTCAAACAGAATGACATCAATCACCTTAATGATGTCACCCATTGATACATCAACAATAACGCATTGGCTAATCTGTTAGCAAAGGGGTGGGTAAACTGCGCCAAAGAAAGGTCGTCATGGCATTATGACCAAAAAAGGGGGCCACAAATCTTAAAAGAATTTTTTTCTGGGTCGAAAAAATTTGCTATTTAAATACATATGCGGCCCTTCAAAGGTAAAATAGTTCTCAATGCGGCCCTCACAGCAAATGTTTGCCCATCCCTGGGTTAGCATATAAGGCATTGTCTTTTAAGGGAAACCAGTCTATGAAAAACCGGTTCAAAAAAGTTCATAAATACGGTACAGCTACTTTTTAAACTACAAATTTTATTTTCATTTGAACGTCTAAATAGCGAAATAATATTTGATGAATTTATTTTTTTTTAATTTGTTCCACCAGAGCTTGTATGACACACGCCAGTTTATCTAGCGAAGATCGAATAAAATTAGGGATAACTGACAACCTGATACGAATGTCCATTGGCTTGGAGAATGTGGATGACCTTATTGGAGATATTGAAAGTGCCCTTCAAATTTCCGTCAGTTACAATTGTTTCATTATGGCGATATTTATTTTTATTCATTTTATTTATTATTTATTATTATTATATTTATTTATATTTGTTATTTTTTAAAGGTTGCCTTGTTGTGTATTGATTGAAATTATACTTTTGGATGTTATTCTTGAAATTTTTTTCATTTTACCAGATACCAACTGTTTAAATATGGCAGGGAAGTCATGATGTTACACTGTACGTGCAAACTCATTGATAAATGTTTGGTGCCAAACTTATATTGCAAGTTATGAAAACAATTCTATAGTGAAATTATTTCAGTTAATTTTAAAATAGTTGTGAAAAAAAAGATGAATGAATGAATGAATGGACAAACAAACGAACGAACGAACGAACGAATGAACGAACGAATGAATAAACGAATGAACGATTTAATTAATAAACACGCAACAAAGCTTAAATCTTTTTTACATTTCAATCAGCAAAGTGAAAATTTATACTTCTACCTCCGCCATCAATTACTTTTCCTTGTGTTTAATTTTTGATTGATCAAAGTAATTTCGGTATTGATTACATTTTCCGATACTAATTTGGGGGAAAAGTTAACATTTTCCAACGACTGCTTTTTCCAGAGCTTGCGACAAATCCTCAATCAAATCCTCAACATCCTCCAGTCCGATAGAAAGGCGGATGAAGTTATCCGTCATGCCCAATCTCAATCTCTCCTCTTCCGTCAGAGCCGTGTGCGTCATTGTCGCCCTGTCAAATTTTTTGGGCAATTGTGAGAAAGTTTGTTGTTAGGAATATCCGGGATATTAACTTGGAAAAGTTTTACCCAAAATGTCCAGTCATTTTTTTGATTATATTATTATAAATAAAATGAAATAAATGAATCATATTATATTACGATCATGAAAAATATCGAAAAACACATTTTCGAAAAAATTTCAACTAACGGTAATTCAGCGAGGCTCTCGTATCCACCAAGGCTGACAGCTAGTTTGAAGAGCTTTTTAAAATACAAAAGGTTTAAAGGCTTCAAATATACATACTCGTGCTAATGCTTCCACTAATTTTTACACAATTCTAAACATTTTAATCAAATAAAACCAAGAATTTGTGCGGTTAAAAGTTGAGAAATAGTCTTCCTTGCGACATTAATTTTCAAGTTTGGTCTTTATCAGAACTGCATACAGAAAACTGAAAAAGTAACCTTCAAGTAGCTGAAGAACTTTTGCGTTTCAGACATTCCACCCCTGATGTAGAAGGAGACCATACCACTGAATCCTCTGCACTGCTTCATCGAAACGTCGTAGTTCGGATGGTCAGGTAACCCTGCATCAAAGATGTTTGAAAAAGCGAAAAATTCTCATTAAAATTTAAAAAAATGGCGATCTTGGTGTTATCTATATCTTATTTGATATCTCCCGGATCTATAAAACAAATGATTAAGCCCGAAAGATAAAAATTAAGATACGTGAATATCGATGTCGCCATACTATGCTAAATACAAACGTTGAAATCATTACACCAAGTACCTTTATTCAACATGATCTCAACTAAATAATCATATTTATCATTTCAGAAAGTTAAAAAATATTGAAATGAAAAAAAAATATCAGGAAAGAACCACTGACCAGGGTGGATGACCTTCTCAACTCTAGGATTACCCTGCAGATACCTAGCCACCTGCAGTCCATTCTTCATGTGCTGCCTCATGCGGAGTGCCAACGTCTTCAAGCCCCGATTCAATAGGTAGCAATCGAATGGGGATGGAATGACACCCAGTGCTATTTGTGTGTGTATGTGTGTGTTTGTGTCTAAATGTGTGTGTGTGTGTGTGTGTGTGTGTGTGTGTGTGTGTGTGTGTGTGTGTGTGTGTGTGGTGTTATAAGTAATCTATGTATAGCATTTTTTATGATAATGTGGCCTAACATATTTATACAATACTTATGTAAACTGTGATCTGCTAGAGATCCCGATTAACTTTAACTTTTAAAGACAAATAACAAACACAGTGCCACGTAAAAATATCTTTGTGTGAAAATATCTGTTGTAAATTCTATCAGAAAACTATGGTTTGATGTGAAAATTAGAGAAAGAGAGAGAGAGAGAAAGAGAGAAAAGAAAGAGAGAGAGAGGAAATGTGCTAACATGCTTGCAGAAATTTCAACTTTTTCCCAAGTTCATCATCGTTTACAGAAACAGAACCCATAACAACATCCGTGTGGCCTGTCCGAATAATTTTCAAATAAAAATTTAATTATAGGAGAAATAATTTCCAATAATTACAATCATAAATAATAAAAATAAAACTACAATAAGTCAACAAATATAATTAAATAATTAATTAAATTAATTAGTTAGTAGAATTGATCGATCTAAAGCAATATACCGACCGTTCATATATTTAGTTAGTGACTGCAAGGAAACATCGGCGCCTAGCTCTAGCGGTCTCTGCGGCCACAACATTTGTATTTGTAATAATTAATAATAATATTGATAATAATATATTATTTATATATAAAGAAAGAGAGAGAGAGAGAAAGAGAGAGAAAAAGAGAGAGAAAGAAAGAGAGAGAGAGAGAGAGAGATAGTGAAACCACAGACGTGTAGATGTTTATCATTCTCGCACTTTAACCAGTTACACTTTCGAAAATTTTAATTTTAACAAGACTAAAACAAAAGGCGGATAAATATTAGGAGTTGTAATAAAAATGGCAATAAAAACAAATTTAACAAAATAATAATAATAATAATAATAATATTATTATTATTATTATAACTAAAATAAAAACAATTTCAAAATAATTGATACGCTGAATAGAAGGGTTTTCAAAAAGAGAATGATGACAACCACAACGAGGGTATAAATTAAAAAGAAGATGATGAAACAAACTCTAACATTAACATTGCCTTGATAGCAATAAGAATAACAATAACAACAACAATAACTATTATTATTATATATAATTATTCTCTCAAGTATTCATCCGAGGTATCAACAGCGAGCAGACACACCGTACGTGACCGGCGGGGATTCAAACCCAGTCTCCTTACAACAACAACAACAACAACAACAACAGAGAACCAGGCATTAAAACCACTACACCACTACAGTCCAGTGGCAAATCTAAGAAAGGGCCGAGAGGGGCCCAAAAGTTCTTTCCCGGTTAACGTTTGAAAAAATTTCAAAATTTGGGCTTCCCCACTAAAGTTTTCAAGATCCTTCATTGACACTGCCTATATACTAACATTATAAATACTACGACCCACCTGGAAGTATGAAGACATGAAGGTGTTATCGACGACGACGATGACACCTGGCTGCTGGTGGGCCACTGCTGAAGCCGCTTCAATGTCCACCACCTTCAACGTCGGGTTTGTCGGCGTTTCCAGCCACAGCATCTTAAAACATTAATATTGTTATAATTATATGTTAAATTATATTATGTTATAATTATTATTATTATTATAATTACTTATGTTAAATTATATTATATTATAATTAATATATCGCAATGACAACCGTACAAAAACGCCTCTGATTGTTATAATACAGACGAACTGCTACAAATTATAAGGCCCAAATCAATTGGATTGGTTGAAGTGAAGATGTTGAGAGTAACTTTAAAATGAAAACGAATTATTATGATAATTAATAATAAATTATGTTAATTAATGACAAATAATTATTTATGATTAATAAATTAGAAATAGTTTCAACCTTGGTGTTTGGCTTTATGGCGCTCTTAATGTTATTGATGTCAGTGGCGTCAACAAATGTTGCTTCAACATTGCTCTCCGTTATTATGTTCTTCATGTAATTTACGGTACCTTGTGTGGTGATGATGATGATGTGGTTGTTATGATGATGATGAAGTGATGATGATGATGTTGTTACGATGATGATGATGTTGTTGTTTTTGTTGTGATGATGTTGTTATTGTTGAGATGACGATGACGATGATGCTGTTACATTGATGAGGAAGTTGTTGTGATGATGATGATGATGATGATGATGTGATGACGATAATGATAATGTTTGGATGATGATAATGGCCATTGCGATCGACACGAAGATTACAATGTTCAGCCTTAAAACCAACAAAACGTAAACCACAAAACCCACCGAAACCAAAAACCATGAAAAAGAATAAAATAACCAAAAACATTAAATAAGAATATGGTAACCAAAAATAATAAATGCCAACCTCCGTATACGTCATCCATGCAGATTATGTGATCACCTGACTTGAGCACGTGACACATGGCCACCATGGCGGCCGAACCGCTCCCGAAGAGATAACCTCACCAAATAAAATTTTAGAGGGGAATTTCCATTAAATCTATCTATATCTACCATTTCAAAATTAACATTTTCGGATTATGTAGTCATTTGTATGTGGAAAACTCCACAGGTTTGATGAAACAAATATGGATAGGAAAATTTTCAAAAATAATTTTTTTCATGGTGGGGGCCTAATAACCCTACACCTCCTCAGGCTCCCTTATACTTAGGCCTTTTGTGATAATAAACAACTGACGAAAAGTTATTTTTAAATTATTAACATAAATGAATAAAAATTTATTAATGTTTTCCTAATTTATAATATTAAGCTTTGAAGTAAGCCTGGTAGATGCATAAGTGATGGTACGCTTATAAGTTTTGGTTTTATTTTTCAATAAGTTATTACGTTTTATGGTCATTAAATTAGTTTTTTTTATATTTATGTGATATTTTTAAAATTTGGCGGCGTGATAGTCTAGTGGTTAAGGTCGCCTGCTGCTCTGTAGCAGTGCATGCAGTGTCCGGGTTCGATTCGATTAAGACAAACAGATCCCATCCTATCACTAGCTATGTATGTGATGTATTCATACACGATGTTCGTTTGTTGTTAATTACACAGAATCAATGAAGAGTGCAATGAATGACGTGGATGGCCTTTAACCTTTGAAATTGAACATAATTTTGTCAAAATCTAACAATATTTGGCGTTTTCAAGAGCAGCCACACACCGTTCGGCCACAGTTCTCGTTGGGTTGCCGATCCTAGAGTAGAAATATTTGCCCTGATATTTTGAGGTGCGAGAATTTTTAAAATTTAGCTATTTTATGAGATCAAGACAAAATTAAAATATCTTGATCGTGTTTATTTTATAAAATATTCTCAAAAGTAACAATAACTATGTCAGCAACTACAACACTCCACATTCAAAACTGGCCCCAGCAACAGCAGAGCCAAGTACCTTAACCATCAATTACACTATTGGGCCACCCAAAAAACCATAGACACATGTTTTCTAAATATATATCAACATCTACTTACCTCAGGTGCGGTACTAGCATGATCAAGTTGGTAGGTGGATGATAGGGAGATGATGGGAACCACACTTCCACATTTCCACTGTTCAGGGCTTTGTCCCTCGTGAATAGCCATCGTGGCGAAATGAGGGAAAGGTCTAAAAGAGAAGTCCTCATCTGTCACTTTCCTATCACCGTCATCATTATCTGCAGTTGATGGCTTTGTACACTTTTCTTTCAAAATGTTGTCGGTTTCGAGGCCATTTTTAGAATCTGGCAGACGTTCGTTCGTCGGGATGGTTGAGATGGTTTTGTTGGCAGGCATCTTTCAGACCTTTTCTATAAGGGTATTGAACAATTTTTTATTAAATAAAATAAATAATTATAAAATTATGACAAGTTATTAGATAATAATAATATAAATTACTTTTTAAGAAATAATTAAATTTATCCCTTGAAACATAATATGGTAACGTTAACTTTATTTTTCGCCGAGGCCAAATTAATTTTCACAAGACGAACTCACGAATCACATTTTGCTCTTATATACACCAGTACACGCACACCACACGCACACACACGCACACATACAAACAAACAAACACAAACACAAACCACACAGACACACACACATCAGACGGACTTAGCACCTTATTGCTCGTTCGTTTGAATAACATTTTTGTTTCGTAAGACCTTTAAATTTAGTGACATTAAATCTTTTGAACGCGTTCTTCCTTTTTATCTTTAGATCAAGTTGGTACGTGTTGTTGTTATTCCAAAAACTAAATAAACAAATCAGAAATATTACAAAATGAGAAATAAACAAATAAAATTTAATTCGAATCATACACGTACACACACAATTGCAAATATAAAAACACATACACTCGTGTATACACGCTGAATATGTCGCTTGTAAATGTGTGTGTGTGTATTTGTGTGTGTGTATGTGTGTCATTTTAAAACGTTACCTACCTGTATTGTTATATTTCATTAATTTATTTTTAAAATTTCGACTAACAACCGCCATCAATTAAATTCAATTTTATCGAAAATTAGGCCAAAGTTATCAAACATGTACGTGTTTGACTGTGCAATAAATTAAATTTCTTACTTAATTTGATGATTTGATGATTGCTAGCTCGCTCATTCGATATTTACTACATTTTATCTTGAATAATTCTCTTTAGCTGAATTTCAAAAATATCTAAACCACAACACACACAACACACACATACACACACACACACGCATAGTGTGCATATTAGCACTACACAGGTTTTCGAATCCGAGGCCTACAACAACATGACTGGGTCCCTTAGAAATCTTTTCACCAAAAATAGCGATGATAATAATAATGTTAATAGAGATTTCATTATTTATTATATTTGTTTTCGATTTCGATAAAATATTAGCTACAGTTTCCGAAAAAAATTTTTTAAATAAAATTTAAAAAAAAAGGAAAACGTTCTGAAAGAAAGAAAACAAAAACGAATAGAAGGGTAAAGACAAAAAAGGAAAAGAGAGAAGGAAAGAAAGAGACAGAGAGAAAAAGAAAAAAGACAGAGAGAGAGAGAGAGAGAGAGATAGAGAGAGAGAGAGATAGAGAGAGAGAAGGAATAAATGATGGGGATGGGACCTTTAAATAACTTAACAGTTTAGTTTATAAGAATACTATTCATCCCATCAATCTTGAAGTTATGATTCAAGTTTATTTTCTTATCCTTTTTCTTCCTGTTTCACTCTATCTCTCTTTCTCTCTTTTTTCTTTTTTGCTTTCTTTCTTTCTATCTCTTTCTCTCTATCTGTCTATATATATATATATATATATATATATATATATAGCGTAATTGTTTTGAACTGCAAAATAACTATCGGACCATTTTTGTATTCGCCTTTACATCACCATCACCGTCGTCATCATCATCGTCATCATTATTATCATCACTATCATTATCATCATCGTCGTCGTCGTCAGCATCATCATTATCATAATTAACACAACAGTCGCCATCATCATCATCATCATATTTTTCAACTACTAACATCATATTGTTAATTTTTTATATTAAATTGAAAAATTAAAACAAAAACGTATAAAACCAGGATATGCCGATGATAAAATGATTAACAAAATAGAATTATTACATAAATAATAATAATACTAATAATAAAAAATAAATATTATTCTAACTATTATTCTTATTATTATTACCGTATTTGCCTAACAACAGCTGTACAATAGAGTAACAAGCAGATAAAGTGGTTAACATATCAATATATATATATATCTATAATGTACTATAAATACATATAGCATATATATATACACATATGTGTGTGAATGTGTTCGTATATATGTGTATGTCAGCAAGTATGTGTGTGTATGCAATTATGATAAATTTTACTTCCTAGATTGAAATTTCAATACTCTTAAAAACTCTTAAAAACTTAAATTACGAGCACAAATTGGGCAAAACGTTAGTTTTCAAATGACATACGTATGTCCCTATTACATCGGGACATACGTATGTGTACTTACATATTGTACTATGGAAGAAGATGGTGAAGTCGTTATAAATAGTTTATATGTTAAAATAAGGGGAAATGTTTTAAAGATTCTATATATGTATTTGTTTGTGTTTGTGTGAGTGTGTGTTTGTATATATATATATATATATATATATATATATATATATATATATATATATATATATATATATATTTGTAAATTTACGCTCTTAGCTCCGCTGTTTAGTTATTCCAAACTTTATTCAAAACGAACATAATATACCATATATTATTTGATAAAAAAAAGTATTGTATTAGTATTATTATACAATTGAATATTATTTTATTTTTTTAAGATAAAACTTTGAAACATTTCAAAAATCTGCGGCCAGCCAATGTCTGACATAGTAAAGCAGGGATACGTAAAATTTCAATCTAAAAACTTGGGCGTTAGTTTCAGACGTATTTGTACAACGTTATAAATTAATCTATTTAACTTGACTTCATCCAATTGTATCCAAATTTATTCAAATTCATCCTAATTTATTCAACGTTATCCAAATCTATCCAAAATATCCAAATCTATCCAAAATTATCCAAATTTCTCATCACCCAATATCCCAAAACACCGAAAACATTCAATATTACGTCACAAAACACCCACCATCATAGATATGGAAAAAAAGATGGTTGGTACTGAAAATGCACTCCAGAAGGGGACCAGTCAGATTGGAGAAGTATTCGGACGAGGTGGCATCACTGAGTTCCGGAAAGTATCGTATGATTGATCTGTCCAAGGTCGAGAACATCTACAGGCTCCCGGATTTCGAGAAGAAATGCGCCATTCATATAACCGTCGATTGCATGCAGTCGGTTCAGTTTTCCGTTGATTCTGGTAAATAAATTTGTGTGAAATTCTTTTTTAAAATTGGTAATTAGTTCGCTTTTTTTTAAGAATAATTTTAATATGATAATATGAGTTGGAAGATATTTTTATTTATATGATTGCTGTGATAATGGTGTAGTAAGACGTTAATCCTTAACGTCTTACTATCTTTGATAGTAAGACGTTAAGGATTTGAATTATCATTTCAATTTTTGTTTCAACGAAACTCACGCAAACAGAATTAGAATGCGAAAACTGGTTGAAAATGATCCAGGGTGAAATACAAGGAGCCCTTATTAACAGAGGTCGTATATTATCATTATCTCTTTTTTAATCTCACATATGTGTGCGTTTTTGTGTTGTGTCTATGTGTTTATTTGTTTGTTTATGTGTGTTTTTGTTTGTTTGTTTGTGTGTGTATCAGTATGCGTAAATATTTATTCACCAGACTCATTCAACGTCTACCTGACAAAGCACCCGAAACTGCCGACCCACGGCGAATGTACCATGGAGATCACGGATACGGAAATCCGTCTACTTAACCACAGGGATCAGGAAATTGTATTCTGGCCTATTAACAAGTTAAGGAAGTATGGAGTGGAGAGGAACATGTTCACTATTGAAGCTGGCAGGTTTGGGATTTTTCTTTCCGGATATTTTGGGATTAAAAGTTTTTTTAACTTGGCTGATAATATTTTAGGATTGTGTTTATTTGACGTTTTAACGCATTTGCAATTTGAAAGTTTCAGTGTTCTATTCATCGCTTTTTCTCTTGTATTTAATTAATTCTCAGTGAAATATTTTCCAACATTTGTATTTCAAATAGTTTAAAAAAAAGCTGAAATAACACAAAAACAAACGAAATCGAATTTCCAAAACAGATCGTGCGTGACGGGGGAGGGTACATTTGTGTTTGAGAGTGAGGCTTCCGACGACATATACTCCAGGGTCAACAACGTCATCAAGTCTCAAGCGCTCGCCAAGAGAAACGAAGTTAGTTTGGGTGTTTGCAATCGAGAATTTTGTCACGTTCTTCATATTCTTTTGTGTTTTGTTGACCATATTTTGGTTGTAGTGTGGTAATCGTTGTCAATTTTACTATTTCTACGCTTAATTTTACAGTTTTTCCACTAAAATGAGCTATAGCTCACTAAAATATTTGTCAGATACGTGATTTGTGTGATTGTTATATGAGGTTATTATGATTTTATTATGAACTTTCACCTGTAGTTAAAGATTTAATCTTGTTGAATCATGTTTAACTATAAATAATCGGATTATTATTAATCGTTTTAAAAAAAAAATCTCCATATAAGCAAGAAATACGAGCAAAACTGTTTCAAAATTATCAAAGTTTGATTTTCCTAATAACTCAGACAGTTAGACTAATTTTAAGAAGAAAAACCAGCACTCCACGGCGAACTGAACTAACTAAATAGAGGAAGCTGGCGACTGCATAAATCAACCAGCCAAACGTGTTTACGACATTTCGTGTCACCTTTTAAACGTTCCTTTTAACTAAATCATAAATTAACAGCTGAATAAATAAGAATATAAAAACGACATTACATAATAATAAAATAATAATAATTACGTTATAATTAATAATAAAATGGCAATAAATAAAATTAAAGCTGGTTTATCTCTCAAATAACTTACACAAACAACTCCAAACCAGACTAAAGGCCAAGAAGTAAGTCAATCCGATGGTGATAATCATGTGCGTGCGTCGGCCAGCAGATACAACAACACATCAAATCAGTACTACCAGGTCCAGCAAGGAGGATCTAATGACCCATCTGGCATCAACGAACTTTCAAGGAAACGTCAGACTGAAGTCGGACGTGGAAATGAATACAAGTTAGAAGCTACTGGAATGAGAGGTACTGTTAATACACGCGTGTGTGTGTGTGTGTATGTATGTGTGTTTGTGTGTGTGTGTGTGGTGTGTGTGTGTGTGTGTGTGTGTGGTGTGTGTGTCACTTTTCAACAGCAGTTCCAGGCAACTTAACCATATTAGGTACATTATCTCGCCATCCACTTTTGTATCTATACCAATATTTATTATTAAAATATAATAAAGGATGAGTGAGATAACGATGGAATTCTTCAAATTTTCAGGAGCCGGATCGACTAGATCTAGAGGTCGTAGCGATGACAAAGGTTATCCAAAAAATGTTTTACTTATTTTTTTGATTATCAAGGCCTAATTTTATTTACTACTAATAAGTTGCCGATATGCAAATTAGTATCATTTTTTTAATAAAATAAAATTTTGAATCTAAACTTCTCCAGATGACGACTGTGATAGTGAATATATCGAAATACCAAGATAACTGATACCATCAGATTTTTAATGAAATCAAGTCAATTTGATAACTTTTTTGAGATACGTTTATAACATTCACACATTACAGTTTATATAGTACAATTTTTCAATATACCGGTTTATAATTTTTGAACGATTGTTTTATTTTAGAGTTTAGAACTTTCTTCAATACAACAACAATTTTATACGTTAACAATTTTTGACATTATAAGTTTTAGTTTCGAAATGATGGTTTATATTTTTGTTTTCTTTTAAAAAAAATACTTCAATGGTTTATATTTTTCATAATTTTACAACCCATGTCAAAAATTACAGAGTCCTTTTGATGAGAATTTGTTATGTAATTTCTTTGGTTCGAGTTTATCGTTGACGTAATTGTTTACATTTTTAAATTTCTGGGAAATTTGAAATTTCGAATTGAAATTTCACTTTCGTGAAATGGTATTTCAAGGTAATAAATTAGTTTAATGAGTACTTTAACATTTGTAAATTAAAAAATTTTAATAATTTTTTGTGATTTTTCTTGATATCGTTACTGGTTACTTGAAATTGAACTTTCACAAGTACTTGTTTTTCACAAGAATTTCTGTGTGTGGTGTTCAGTACGGTTTTTTGGACAAATAATTTTTAAAATTAAATTAAACTTAAAAAGGAGCAGTCAGGCACATGAAGCAGCAGAAACTATCTGCCTGGAAACCTACACTAACATGTGGTTCCTTGTCACTACTCTTCCTCTTCATGGCTTCTCTGTACATCCCTATTGGGGCCGTTCTAGTTTATTACAATTATCAAATTAATGAAATGGAGATTTTTTATTCAGATAGCAAGAAGTGCATATTTAATTCGGAGTTATCATCTAATTTGTCGGCTTGTGATAAAATGTTTTCTGGGGGTGTTTCTACAGGCTGTGTGTGTTCTGTTCAGTTTGAGTTGCCATATCAATTCAGGGTGGGTTACTGTATTTTAAATCTTAGTTATTTAACAATTTAATAAATTAAGCTAATACTTTTAATTTAATATTATCTGTGTTAATGTTAATGATTATACATGTTCTGTTTTAATTTACCCTGTGACATTAAAATTAAATGACATGAAAAAATAATTATCAGGGAAGTGTGTTCATGTACTACGTGCTGACAAACTTCTACCAAAACCATCGAAAGTACATCAAATCCTACGACCCAATGCAGTTGGTTGGCAAAAACCCCGACAAAGAATCATGTAGCCCATTCGTGAAAGATCCCAAGACTCACAAGATCTATGCTCCTTGCGGTGCAATTGCCAACAGTATGTTTAATGGTAGAGCTAAACTAATTTTCATTAAAAATTCATTTTTCGGTAGAAAACAAAACACATTTTTATTAAAAATTCCTTTGTTAGTAAAAATAAAAACAAATTTTTATCAAAAAACTCATTTTTTATTAATAAATAAACACCAATTCTCATTAAAAATAAACTTTTAAACGTTTGTTAAAGATTATATACTTTGCAATGTTATATAGCTGATTTTTTTACTCAGCTATCATTATTATTGGCGTATTGTTATTTGAATTAAATTATTGAATAACTCGGCTAATTTAATTTTCTAATTATTCAGTTATATATTGTCGATTGATTTAATTGTAATAAACATTTTCATATAAAGCTTAAGCATCTATGAGCTAAAGCATCTATGACCTTAACTGTACTTTATCTTTTTGTAATTTCAACCTTTCAATTATTTTTCAAAATTAATTTTATGGCAGTTAGTAATTGTAATCATAGTTCATCATAACAATCCTGTAGACACGTTTCAACTGCTGTACCATCCGGATCTTGGAGATCCCATGCAAATTCCCATTATGAGAGATAACATTGCTTGGGATACAGATAGGAAGTATAAATATAAAAATCCCAAATGTACGCGTTTTGTGAGGTTTTTCTTATTTGTTTTAGAAACTCCATTGCTATTGTCATTGCTGTTATTTACTTATTGTTATTATTATGATTAATGTCATTATTGATGTTATTATTTTTTTATTACTATCATTGTAGATGTTTCAATTGTTAATGCTTGCCTTCATTAGGTCCATAAACGTTAGTGGGTAGTAATAGTAGCCGCAGCAGCAAGCACTCTTAATAGTAGTAGTAGTAGTTGTTGTTGCTGTAGAAGTAGTAGTAGTAGTAGTAATTATTATTACCATCTGAAATAATTCAGCTTGGAAAGACACTACAAAGCCTGCTTTTTGGACCCAACCAGTTACATCCCTGGATCCCAACAACTCGAAAAACAATGGCTACCAGAACGAACCCCTAATCGTCTGGATGAGGACGGCTGCCTTTCCTACATTTAAAAAATTCTACGGCCGCATCAAACGATTGTCCGGAGATTTGTTTAATGAAGGATTGCCTGCCGGGCTCTATACACTGGTTGTTAATTATAGTACGTGGAAATTTTTGTGGGATTTTTTATCGGTTAGTTTTGTCTAACAGCAGGTTAGCTCAGCTGGTAGGAGTGCCGTGTCTCGTGCCGTTATTGTGGTGGTTTGGTTCGAATACCGTCTGCCCGAAATTCAAAAATTATCATATCGTGTATGTATGATCGCGCGTGCATACAAAATGTGTATGCGCGTCGTGTGAATGTTTGGAGTGTACGTACGCTGTGTGGGGGGATATCACAGTCTTTGTGGCACGAAAGCCTAACTGAAAGTATAGAATGATAATGTGAGCAGTTCTTTGCATTTTATGGAGGGTTGCATAGTTAAGAACAAAAAACAAAATATACACGTATACGCGCGCACACACACACGCACATACACACACACTAGATTACCCAACAAAAGTATTCGACGGTAGCAAAAGAGTCTTCCTGACAACGTCATCTTGGGTTGGAGCAAAAAATTTTTTCACTGGCATAGCGTACATTATAATGGGAATTATCTGCCTGGTTACCATCATATTCTTTAAGATTATCACTCATTTCTACGACAAACGGTTCAGGTAACTGTGTTTGTTTCTGCGTGTGTTTTCTTTGTGTTTGGTTAAAGTGCCTGGCGTTGATAATGCAGTGGCCGGCTTCGAACGCGAGATCATCCCGGTGTAGCACGTGCCGGTGTTTAGTTAGGTCATGCTTTGATGATTAACGTGTATTTGCATGGACTATGTGTTGTGTATGTGTGTTGTTGGTGATTCTGAGATATTGAAATAAAGTCAATAAATCTTGAAATATATGTATATATATATATATGTGTGTGTGTGTGTGTGTGTGTGTGTGTGTGTGTGTGTGTGGTGTGTGTGTGTCTTGAATGAAGAATATTTGGAGTGCTGTCTATGAGTAGATGTTTGTTAATTGTTTAGTTGTTTTTTTTTACTTATATTTCAAATTTCATTTCATTTTCTTTCTAGATTTTTTTTGGACAGTCTGTCAAATTCGTCTCCTTATTTTTTCCGCTGAATGAATGAATGAACGAACGAATGAATGAATGGACAGATTGGTGAATGAGTGAATAAAATAACAAAGTTTATTTTTATGAATTCTATTACATTTTTCACTATTTTAAATAAATTTATTTATACCTTGAACGGCTAACTGGTCATGTTCTGCAGTTTGCATGATGAAGGACAGCTGCATCTACGATAATAACTTTCACAAATTACACAACGTTGACTATTTAATCTTATAAACATTTTATATAGAATAAAAAATAATTTAGAAAGAAAAATTTGCGAAAAATTATTTAGTTTCAACTTTTATTCAATTTAAAATCATCATGCAAGCCTAGTTTTTTCTTCAAATTCTCGTTCTCTCGTCTCAGAGACGATATATAAAAATTTTTATTTGTGACATCTTCCGTCAGCGTTTCCACCAACGACTCTAGCTCTGCTATTCTTTCTGATGGGGTTAAATTTTTCAGAGGTTTGCTACTCTTCGAATTCCTTCTGCCCTGACTAGATGGAGTAAAATTGTTAAAACTACACGAGGTTAGGGATGTGGTCTCGTAATCGTCGAATACTTGATACCGGTGAAGTTCGCTTAGGGTCGATTGTGTTTGTTCTGGGCCTATATCGAATGGTTGGATACCGATTCTGTCGTCACTGTTGTAGAAGGATCTGTTGTTTTTTGATGAGCCTGTCAGGTGTTTGGGGATTTGATTTGAGATTTGTCTGAGGTTTTGGGATTCGTTTTGAAATGCGTTATGGGATTTGTCTGTTTTCGGGTTTGTATAACGTTTTTGAGATTTGTCTATATTGATAATAATTTTTTGATGTTTCACTGGATGTGTAATTGTGATTCAATGTGTTAATATTTCTGTATATTTACCTTCTAATAAACACGTGCCTCTCAACGTCACGCCACCTTCAAATTAAAACGTATTCGTTGCAATATTTATTTTACGTGAATAAATTAATCAATAAATTTATAATCATAATTGTGAAGAGAGGGAGAGAAAGAGAGCAAGAAAGAGAATGAGATAAGCATCTGAAACAATTAGAAAAAATCTAGGTTGAGATAACCTGTAACTAATTTTACTTGAATGATTCAAAACATTGATTGTAATTCTATTATGACGAGTAAGAAAGGGAGATAGAGCGAGAATAAGATAAACAATTGAAACAAATAGACAAAACAACTAGACAAAAAAAAAGAAGAAAAAAAACTCATAAAAGAAGCCTAATCCAGAAAAAAACTAAAGCAACGGGCTATTGGCAGCAAAAAATCGCAGGACAAACTTCCTAATTTTTTGGTAAGCAGCTGGATGACCTCAACATTGTTCTTCAGGCACGCCTCATCAAGAGGCGTTCTATCCTGCTTGTTGACTAACATAAGACTGGCCCCATGTTCTAGGAGGAGTCGAGAGATGGATGGGTAGTTCCTGTAGGCAGCCAAATGCAGCGCCGTATCGCCGTTGTTCGTCGTCTGCCTGTTGACTTCGCTACCGCTAACGGGGAAGTATTATTGTTATGAAATATTATTATAGAAGATTGCTAGGAAATGTTGCTGTGAGATATTATTTTAAAATGTTATTATTAAACATTATTGTAAACAATTATTATGAAATATTATTATAGAATATTTTTAGGAAATGTTATTATGAATTATTATTTAAAATTATTAAATATTATTATAAACAGTTATTATGAAATATTGTTATAATACTGAAAATTATTACTCAATTAAGCGCAAAGACAAAATGTAGGCATTAAGTAGTATATATAATATAGAAAACATATCAATGTTTTTTTAGTTCTAAAATGATCTATAAATGACATTCCAACTGAAACTCTAAAACAATGTCAAGCCAAACATACGAAATTCGTCACTGATATGTAGTAAGAATTCCTTTGAATTGCATTTTTGCCGGCAAAATTCATTTGCAAATGTGTACCAGACAATGCAGTCTTTACACGCAAATAAGTGTTTGTCTACTTGCTTGTTTGTATGTGTGTTGTCTGTGCGTGCGTGTGTGAGTCTGTGTGAATGTTTTCGACTGTCTAAAAATGAGTACTTGGCTTCACAATCATTCACACACTTTCGTAATCGTATGTATGAATAAGTTTCTTTAGCCTGACTATTCTTATAGAGATGAATAGTCTGAGTGTAAAATTAAATTGCTAGTTTAATGTTGCTCCTTGTATGCTTGCATTTACGTCATGTTATTTTGTATTTATTTAATGCAACCCATACAATACAATGTATGCCAATATACAATACAATGTCCTATCTTCAATTATATACAATACAATATCCAAATAATACTATACATTACGATTATATAAAATACACCATCCATACTGGCATAAAATTTTATATTTTCAATTATAAGATAGATAATGATGGTAATAATAATGATTGTCCTATTGTCTCTTCCCACATAGGCAAATATGAATTAAAAAATTGAGTGCATATTGACACACACACACGCACGCACACACGCACAACATGTTACACACTCAAGCCACACGTATAACACTTAGTATGAAAGGATAACCAGAAGCATGTTATTATTATTATTATTTTTATTATTATTATTTTTATTTTTTTTAATACTAAATGTGTCAAAAATTAGAATGGTGACATTTTTTCATGTTTTCCACCTCAATTTTTGGTCGATTTTTCTCAATTTTTCTACATAAATCGGTGCTTTTTCTAGGCGAAAACTGACTCTTACTGACTTTTAATAAAAAGGTACTGGTCACAAGAAATTTAAATAATAGTAATAATAATAATATCCTTGCAATCCGGATATTGGGATAACGAAAACATAACGTACACTTATCATTATATCCCGGTAACTCTGATAACGAAAGTGTTTTTTTGGATGAGGATGTAAGATATTATGGCTTAATTAAGCCCTACAGCACAACACATCAAGTTTCAAATCGTATCCTATATATATATATATATATATATATATATATAC